ATTGCATTTCACTTCTGCGTCCCTCTCCTGATAAGACATTCCAAGCGGTGCGCCTGCCCTTTCGCCCAAAAACATCTCGCCCGTTCCGAGCCCCTCTGCTCTGTGACCCTGTGTGCCATCGTGTCTATCGCCTTTCCACAAGGCTCAGAGCAGATTTCAGGTGCTTCAGATAATGCCTGTCACTAGGAGACAAAATTTGGAAGCTCACTCACTGCTTCAGAGAACATTGCTCTCTCGCTCTCTCTCTCTCTGCCTTCTATAAAAAGCTAAACTGGAAAAGCTGTGAAAACAAAACCGAAATTCTTGCAATCCTCCACATAACCATCAATATTTACATCTTGGTGGCATTTAAGAAACACGTTTTCTTCATTATATCTACGTAGAAATCTATTTTCTGCTAATCCAAGAATGATATAATCTAACAAGCAGTGTAAGAAGCATTTGACAGACAAGGAACGGCAACAACAAAACAAAAGGTGAAAATGTATAGAAAAATGTATCCCATAGGTTTGTGGAAAATGATGAGTCCCGGTACGTTTTAATGATGTTCACACCAGCAGCAATCACAAAAGTCAAAAGGTACAAGCAGGGCCCGGCGCGGTGGCTCACGCTTGTAATCAATCCTAGCACTCTGGAGGCAGGCGGAGGATTCGCTCAAGGTCAGGAGCTCAGACCAGCCTGAGCAAGAGCGAGACCCCCGTCTCTACTAAAAATAGAAAGAAATTAATTGGCCAACTAAAAATACATAGAAAAAAAAAATTAGCCAGGCATGGTGGCGCATGCCTGTAGTCCCAGCTACTCGGGAGGAGGCTGAGGAAGGGGATCGCTTGAGCCCAGGAGTTGTGAGGTTGCTGGTGAGCGAGGCTGACGCCACGGCACTCACTCTAGCCTGGGCAAAAGTGAGACTCTGTCTCAAAAAAAAAAAAAGTATTATTAAGAAGTAAGACTATCTCTATTTGAGATGACATTGAGATGTTGGCATATTGAGATCAATATATAAAAATCAATTATATTTCTATATTCTTGCAATTAATACTATTTAGTATTTTCTTTCAGTTTTCTGAAAGAAATGAGACTCTGTTAAGACCGTGCGTAAGGCAGAACAGGATAAGAAATACAAATACGGGCCGGGCACGATGGCTCAGGCCTGTCATCCCAGCACTCTGGGAGGCCGAGGGGGGAATGGTTTCCTTCCTTTCTCAACCTGAAGATTGCTCCATTCGTAGACTCTTCACACTGGCTTTTCTTTTTTCTTTCTACACCTGGGAAGCTCTTCTTCCCGGACCCATCCGTGGACGGCTGGCTCCTTCTTGTGATCTCGGTCCGGATGTCAGCTCTCGGTAGAGTCGTCCAAAGACCGTCCGCCTAAGCCAGCCACCCAGTCGCTTGCTACAACGTAGCTGTTTCACTTTCCCCTGAGGTCTTGCTCCCTAACGCATTTCTGTTGGTGTTGATTGACACATGCAAATGCCTTCTTCCTCCTCAGTTACAGGTAAGCTCCACCTGAGCACGTGTCTGTCATCCTTGCTCACCGCCGGCTCATCAGAGTCAGTCCCAGTGCCTGGCAAACATTAGATTGCCCTGTGCTAGTTGAATAAATGACTTTTCGATGTGTGGCTTGAGGGTGCCGGTTGCTACGTGTAGGACGAACAAGGTAGTGGTAGGATGGTCTGTTATTCAGCTTGCCACACTAGTGTCTATCGGGAATTAACAATAAATAGTCCAGCACCTCTCGTGTTTTCCTGGCTGGAGCTGGAGCCCATCCTACTAAGGGAAGCGTCCCAAGAATGGAAACACAAGCACCACGTGCGCTCACCAGCAAACTGGTGTTGACGGATCAGCACCTAAGTGGACACACAGGAGTGACATCTGTCGGGTGTCGGGCAGGTGGGAGGGGAGGAGGGGACGGGTGTAGACAGACACGACCAGTGAGACGTGCACCGTCTGGGGGATGGGCACGCTTGACGCTCTGACTTGGGTGGGGCAAAGGCAATATAGGTAACCTAAACATTTGTACCTGTGTAATATTCTTTCTTTTTTTTTTGAGACAAAGTCTCACTCTCTTGCCCGGGATAGAGTGCCGTGGCATCAGCCTCGCTCCAACTCCTGGGCTCAAGCGATCCTCCTGCCTCAGCCTCCCGAGCAGCTGGGACTACAGGCACGCGCCACCACGCCTGGCTCATTTTTTAAATATATATTTCGGGATGAAAATACTAAATAGTATTAATTTTCTTACTCTTAGATGTTTTGCCTAGCGAAACACTTTGTGTAAAACAAAGTATGTGTAATTTGCGGGGGGAAGTTGTGTGTTTGTGTGTGAGTGTATGCTTGTTAATGGTTTACTCAGTAATAAAAGAAGATGTACTTAGATATAACTAATAAAAGAAGAAGAAGAAAGGAACAAAATCGGAACTATCAGGTAGGGCCATGGAAAAACAAACAAACAAAAAAAGATTCAAAACAGCAGAATCATTTTAAACCTATAGATAACAAACAGCCTGGGAATCCACACAAAAAAAAAAAAGTTTATTTTTTATTTCTTATACTGTAACCCCTTTGCTTGAAGATTATTAACTTGTTGCAAAGAACAAAAATCTCTATGAAAAGGAAAGGTTTTGTAGCACCTATGTAAACAGATTTTATTTGTTTATTGCCGTGGGGCCTTCCCCAAACTATTTAGAATTAAAATATTTTAAAACCACGGAAAAAGAATTCTAAAGTAGGAGTACCAATGTATTCTTAGGCTGAGAAAGTTTTGTTATCGCTTTCCAAATCCAGGTGCAAAAACATTTTCGTGAATGTCACAAATTCACTACTTAAAGAGAGAAAAGCTACCCAAACACACCTGTACCCTTTCAAGACTGCTTTAATATTGCGTTAAAGTAAACACATTGAGGACATGAACGTTTAGTCATCGAAAAGCTCCGCCGCCAATCTGAGCTATTTGGAGTGAATTAAACGGGGTACTTAGATCCTGATTAAGACAAACCTGCATTTCGTAACATCTTTTCCAAACCCAATATTGTCAGGCAGTGCTTACAATTTTACCTTTTAACACTGGATCTGTCATGTGACTTACATGATTGGGAATACGTGGATAGGCTGTATTCTAGACCAGAGGGTCCTCAAACTTTGTAAACAGGGGGTCCAGTTCACTGTCCCTCAGACCGTTGGAGGGCTGGACTATAGTTAAAAAAAAAAAAAAAACTATGAACAAATTCCTATGCACACTGCACGCATCTTATTTTGAAGTAAAAAAAAAAACAAAACAAACAAACAAACAAAAAAACAGGCAAAAACACCAGCATGTGAAAAACGGGCAAAAACACCCATGGGCCGTAGTTTGAGGACGCCTGTTCTAGACATATAGCATATAATAGCGTATCTTATTACATGAGGCAAGAGAATATTGTTAAAAAATCCAGGCTCTGACACCAGACTGAGTTTTCATCCTGCTTCTGCCTCCTACTGGTTATATAAACTTGACGTACTCCGTTTGTGAAATGGAGGTAATAGTACTTATATCCACCAAGGTGGTTGTTAACACTAAACAAGTTAAAATATGTAAAGTGGGCCCAGCTGCGGTGGCTCACGCCTGTAATCCCAGCTCTCTGGGAGGCCGAAGCAGGAGGATCATTTGAGCTCAGGAGTTCAAGACCCGCCTGAGCAAGAGCGAGACCCCGTCTCTACTAAACATAGAAAGAAATTAATTGGACAACTAAAAATACATAGAAAAAATTAGCTGGACATGGTGGCGGAGCACGCCTATAGTCCCAGTTACTCGGGAGGCTGAGGCAGGAGGATCGCTTGAGCCCAGGAGTCTGAGGTTGCTGTGAGCGAGGCTGACGCCACGGCACTCACTCTAGCCTGGGCAACAGAGTGAGACTGTGTCTCAAAAAAAAAAAAAAAAAAACACATGTAAAGTGAACCCCCGTGCCTGGCACCTATCAGCAATTGATAGCTAAAATATTATTACTAATCACTCCTTACATCATACACAAAATATACTGAGATCAGTCTATTGTCAAATCATTCAAGGCAGTGATTATGCATAAAGTCGAACCAATCGACGCTTAGAAAAACGTCAGCACGTAAATGATGTCAAAGACGTACAGGCCTCCAAAGCACAGAGAGTTCTATGGCAAAAATCACTCATGTTTTTAGTATATAAATGTACAAAACCAATAACGTTATTACTTTTTTTTTTTTACAAGACTTTATATTGGCAGGATGGCCATATTTTGGTATTTATATTTCTGAAATCAGTAGCTCAGAGTCATGTGAGGCATTCTTACGAGCATATACCACAGTTGCTCCAGTTCCAAATCTGCAGAACACATCCTTGAGATGTTCCAAGCTTTACCTGCTCCGGCAGGTAAATTCATATATAAAAATTTTATATATATATATATTTTTTTCATTTTAGCATATTATGGGGGTACAAGTGTTAAGGTCACGTATATTGCCCTTGCCCCCCTCCCCCCTCGAGTCAGAGCCTCAAGCGTGCCCATCCCCCAGACGGTGCACGTCTCACTCGTCGTGTCTGTCTACACCCGTCCCCTCCTCCCCTCCCACCTGCCCGACACCCGACAGATGTCACTCCTGTGTGTCCACTTAGGTGCTGATCCGTCAACACCAGTTTGCTGGTGAGCGCACGTGGTGCTTGTGTTTCCATTCTCGGGACACTTCGCTTAGTAGGATGGGCTCCAGCTCCAGCCAGGAACACACAAGAGGTGCTGGGTCACCGTGTTTCTCAGAGCTGAGTAGTGCTCCGTGGTGCACACAGACCACGTTTTATTAATCCACTCGTGCACTGACGGGCACCTGGGTGGTTTCCACAGCTTTGCGACTGTGAACTGTGCTGCTATAAACATCCGATGAGTGCGGGTGTCTTTTTCATAGGGTGGCTTTCGACCTTTTGCTACGATGCCACCAAAATTGGAATTTCCGGGCAATCCAGAACGCGACATAAAATCTGGATCTGGAGCTCGGACACTTACTTTTTCTGGGTTCTCTCCGCCAGCCTTGCAACCTCGATGGCGGCCTTCCTCGCCTCGAAATCTTCCCTCGTCACGATCTCGCCGGTGCCCCGGTAGCCAAGCTCCACCAGCTGGCGGGCCAAGCTCTCGTCCTACAGAGAAAACCAGTTGGCACACGCGTGGGCAAGTTATCTTGCTTTCTTCAGTGCACACCAAAGCGACTGTTTTAAATGACAGCTCAGATTTATCGTTTAACAGTGAGACGTGATCTGTTAGCTGTAAAAATCTAGAATTCTTTCTAAGAATACGTTTATACGTTATATCAGATCGGGGCTTCCCATTCTCATAGACATAAGAGAGAGAAAAAAAAAGGAAATATCAGCCTCTATATTTTTTTTTTAAGGAGTCGGAGGGCAAACTCCTATTGTGTTTTTAATTGATTTATGAGTATAGCTGTGGATAATTAATAGTGTTGTCTTTAAAACAATAAAATTAGAGACAATAGTGCTCATACAAGAAAGCCCCTTTTAAAAACCTGGCACAGGCCAGGCGCAGCGGTGGCTCACGTCTGTCATCCCAGCACTCTGGGAGGCCGAGGCGGGAGGATCGCTGAAGGTCAGGAGTTCGCAGACAGTCGCTGAGCAAGAGCGAGACCCCGTCTCTACCCAAAATAGAAAGAAATTAATTGGGCAACTAAAAAGATTATAGAAAAATGAGCCGGGCGTGGTGGCGCATGCCTGTAGTCCCAGCTACTCGGGAAGGAGGCTGGAGGCAGGAGGATCGCTTGAGCCCAGGAGTTGGAGGTTGCTGTGAGCGAGGCTGACTCCATGGCACTCACTCTAGCCCGGGCGACAGAACGAGATTCTGTCTCAAAAAAAAAAAAAAAAAAAAAAAAATCTGGCACAAGAAATGAAGGCTACTTTCAGAAAGTTTAGTGTTCACCAAACTGACTTTCCTTGAAACTTAATTAACTGATGACAAAGATTATTATAACTTCAAATGCAAAATAAAGAGGAGCAGATAGATTTCCTACTTAGCTGCAAAGATACTGTGTTCCACATAATGCCGCTACTAATAAAAACAGAAAAGGTAGAAACCCAAGAAAAAAACCACAAAGAAACCTCCAACTTGAAAAATAAAAAAAATTACCCCACGAAATTTTAGGCTTATATTATTTCAGTTAGTTAAGAAATGCCTCATACATTTTTTTTTTTTCTTTACACATACCATTTTCCCCCGTTTGGAGGAGTATTGTAAGTCTTACAGATTAAAGTACTGGCATACTGTAGGTACTATACGTTACTCACAGATGATACATGAGTATATCATTTTAAATTAAATATCCATTTATATTTCATTTTATCATTAATTAGCTATTATCATTTTAATTGAATACAAAATACCTGAACTATAGTGGAAACAGCATATATTTTATTGTTACATGCCCTTAACTAGTACTTCACTGTTGAATGCAAGTACTAACCAATTAAATGAGAAAACTTAAGATGCCTACACAATAATCTATTTGATTATTAATAGCCATAGTGGCTATTTTAAAGGTATAAGTATTGAAACAAAATTTTAAAAGATAGATAATATAAACCTAGAAACCTGCCAATTCCGTGTGCTAAACATTAAAAGCAAATACTGGATTCCACGTAGCAACGTAGCTATGACGATGCAAAGCAGCATGCCTTGGAAGACCCAGGCCTGTTGCCCTTGTTTCTGAAATGCTCCCCCTGCTTGACAGACTTCTCTATTAATTTTCCCATCTGTTGGCGTGGACCACAAAACTGAGCGAATGCCTCCCCCTAGTGGAATTAATAATCTTCAACAGACAAAGCCACGCAGATTCGAGGCTTGATTCGCAAAAGCGAGGCTATTCGGGAGTATGGATTTTTCTTAACTGGATCACCAAAAGTTGAGTTTCTAGAAAACGACCCTCAGCCTGGTGAGGCTGTGAGACTCTTCCACAAGACTATAAACTCCTTGTGGTCAACACGAGGGTTTTGTGAAGTCCGCTGTATTTATTTTGTACGCCGAGTGAATTGTGCATTCCTGGGTACCTTTACCCCGGGTGACGCGAAGTCATTTAGATCGTTTCACACTCGCTGGCACTTAATCTGTGTGGGTCGCAATAAAGGGCATGGCCTACTGGAAAAGCAAGAGCCATTTGTGTAACGTATTTGGAAGGCAGGCGGGAGGTAGGAGCCATAGTGTTTTAAGGATTTTGCAGGATCTCTGGCTCTGGCGTCTCCAACTTCTGGGCCGGGTGCATGTTTAGCTCTGTGACTGAAGCTGCCAGCTACTCCTGCGAGGAGAAGGCCCCATCCTTGAAATCACAGGGTGGAAGAGCTGAGAGCCTGCACAGCTGCCAGCCTGTCCTCATATGGATTCCAGCTCAATCTTGCAGCTCTCAGTTTGACTTCACGCTCCAGCACTAGAGGCCAAAGAAAACAGCCTTTCACAAAGTGTATCACACTGCCTCTCGACACCGTATAAGATTCCTCATAAACTTATTCAAATCTCTATCGAAAATGTGTGTCGGTTGGGCGGTGGCTCACGCCTGTCATCCCAGCACTCTGGGAGGCTGATGTCAGATGCTCGAGGTCAGGAGTTTGAGAGCAGCCTGAGCAAGAGCGAGACCCCGTCTCTACTATAAATAGAAAGAATTCATGGCCAACTAATATATATAGTAGAAAATTAGCCGGGTGGTCGCGCATGCCTGTAGTCCCAGGCTACTCGGGAGCTGGAGGCAGGAGATCGCTGAGCCCAGGAGTTGGAGGTTGCGTGAGTCAGGGCTGATGCCATGGCACTCTAGCATGGGCAACAGGAGTGAACTCTGTATCAATAAAAAAAAATAAAATAAAATAAAAAAGTGTGTGTGTGGTCTCTTGAAGGAAGAAATAAAAGTTACATAGTTTACCATCTTTAGACACCTGCAGTGAAGAAAGCAAGCCAGGTTTTAGGAAAATATGTATTTGCCGTTGTATTAGCTTGCCAGGGCTGCCGTTAAAAAAAAAAACAGGACAGACTGGGTGGCTCGGACCACAGAAATGTATTTTCTCCAGTTCTGAAGGTCCGGGATGGAGGTGTTGTTTGCAGGCTGGGTTTATTCTAAGGACTCTCTTCTTGGCTGGCAGATGGCCGGGCGCTGGCGTGCCTGTGCCTCAGGCGGTGTTGTGCTCAGCGGTCCCCTTTCCTCTTCTGGTAAGCCCACCGGTCACGCTGAATCAGAGCCCACCTGGTGACCTCATTTCACCCCAGTCACCTCTTGAAAGGCCCCATCTCCAAACACCGTCAGCAGGCTCCGGAAAGTGCTT